AGGTTCTGGATGAAGAAGATCACTACATGGGCATCCTTCAAGCTGATAACACTAAGCACACTGAGGTCAAGAAGAAGGTTACTAGTGAATACATCACGATAGTGAAGAACTTAAAGTCCAACGCAGTGGAGGAAGTATCAAGGCAATTAACACCTGAGCAATTCCAGTCATTAGATATATAGCTGGAATAGTGGACTGGACTCAAACAGAACTAGAAACCCTATATAGGAAGACCAGCAAAATAATGACAATGAATCATGCCCTTCATCAATGCAGCAACATTGACAGTCTACTTATCAAGGAGCATACAGTAGGTGGGCATGAAATGTTGCAAGTGCAGAAGACAGTTGAAGAAGAAAAAAGGCCATTTGATGAATATCTGAAGGACAGTGAAAAAGATGCCCTGAAGCTAGTATATCATGAAGGCTTACTGAATACTGACTGGCCTATAAGAAAGACCAAATGAAAAAGAGACATGGCAAGGCAAAGTATTACATGGCCAGTGCACAAAAAAACTAGCAGTCAAAGCAGATAACAACAAGACCTGGCAATGGCTAAGAGCACAAAAGTTGAAGAAAGAGACAGGGGGGCTAATTCTGGGGGCACAAGACCAAGCCTTAAGAACAAATGCATATAAAGCCAGAATTGAGAAGACAGCAACAGATAGCAAATGCCACCTATACAAAGAACTAAAGAAAGAGTGGACCACCTAGTTAGCTGCTGCAAGAAGATCACACAAGCAATGGCATGACAAAGTAGCAACAATGGTGCTTGGAATATCTGCAAGAAATACCATTTCCCTGCACACAAGAACTGGTGGGACTACAAAACAGACCAAGTAATAGAAAATGAAGAAGCTAAAGTGCTTTGGGATTTTAGAATTCAAACAGACAAGCACCTGCCACATAACACCCCAGACTTAACAACTGGATAGTGGACATTCCAATACCTGGAGACAGTAGAAGAGAAGAGAAAGAACTGGAGAAAATCACAAAATACAAAGGCCTGCAAATAGAAGTAGGATAACTGTGGTAAAAGAAAGCAAAGGTAGTATCAATAATAATAGACACCTTGGTTGCAATCCCAAAACATCTGGGGCACCATTTGAAGACCATCAGCATTGACAAAATCACCATCAGTCAGTTGCAAAAG